GGTCATCAAGATCCAGCACGAACACCTTGGGATGAGGAAGGTCTGTGCTCGTTGGGTTCCGCACCAGCTGAAACCGGATCACATGAAAGCTCATGTGGACTTCTGTGAATTCATGCTTCAGAAATTCTATGGTGGAGCTGCTGAAGCTGTGGGAAACATCCTCACAGGTGGTGAAACCTGGATCTACTTCTACTTCCCATTGTATCCTCTGGTTATTCGTCTCTGGGCCGAAACTGCACCAAAATTGCCCTTGTTTGTCACGGACCGTCAAGGGTAACAAGACCCTCTGACTCGTTTCACTTCGCGTACGCTTGCGAGTCTCCGTTTTATCGCAGGGATCTGAAGTTAAAGGGAAGAACTACTAAGATACATAAGAGTACACAGTGAAAAAATCATGGGGATCTGACAAAAAGAAGTCACTTTTTCCGAGAACTCTTTGACCAGCCCACGTATAAAAAAATTTACTCTCTCTAAAGCAACTTATGCCACACCCTGTACTTCAGAACAGTAGTTTACTAGCTCATTTCCAAAAGCTTTCTTGGTCCAAGTTTGACGACTTAAAGAGAGAAGCAATTTTTTGGTTTGTGTCTTCCCTCAGTAGTTCAGCATTATGGGAACCTTCACTACAAAAGTTGAACATGATGTTTCCTACAGAAAAGGAGATTAATGGAACGTATAATTTGCCATATTTATTGATATTTACAGATTTTTTTTTGCAGGAGCAGCAGAGACAGTTGCATTTCTTTCTTTGATGGGAATCTATTAGATCAAAGTAGAGCAGAAGTCCCATCAATTTAGGCTTCATGAATATCTTCCTATTGTTACTTACATGGTACATTATTGCAGCTGATGATATAGCTTTAGCAGGAACTGTAATTAAAGATGTTTTTACCTACTGAGTTGCACATGCTAATGAATAAACTGAATGTCTTAGACTTCACTTTTTGGCTGACTTTTTTCTAAGCTTTCTCTTACTTCACACATTCACTGCTGGACTTTACCACAGGTGGCATTCCCATTATGCCTGGCACTTTCACCTGGTAAAATGGGGATGGTTTGGTTTGAATTTCTGGCCCTCATTAGTAGACCAGAAATTCAAATCAGATTTCCCAGAAAATGTTGAACATTTAGGGTAGCATCTACTTTGTTCTAAACACCACTATTTGTCCTCATGTCTGAATATCCATACCACTAGCATCACCACCAGCAGAAAAATCAGCTCTACTTGGTGATTCACTTTCACTATCTTGAATTTCAAACTCCCTGTCTGTTTCATTTTCCACTTCACTGTCTTTCGCAGATGCATCACTTCGAGTTAAATTTGCATCAGAATCTGAACCAGCAAATAATTCATACGTAATTTCACTCTCATTGAGGATCTTTGGGGCTAGGTGAACAGTAGAAAAAGTAAAGGTAATATTAATTCACTTTGCACTGCAGGGAAAAAAGGAAATTGATATTCCTTGCATTCCACCATCCTCCCACAAAAGTTTGAAACAGATAAAAACTGCATTTTAATGCTATATTGAACATAGGTTCAACTTAATGGACATATGCCCAAATATTACCTAAGCTGTATATTACAATATTAAGGGGAAGCTGAAATACAACCATGGTTGTATTTGTCAGTGAATGTGTAAAAGGCTTCCTTAAAAGTCCCAGTCTTTCATAATTATTTTAGCTTGGAACAGTTGCTGTCCAAGCAAAAGAGAGCACTGAACAATAGGCTCGTTTAACAAAGTACTGCTAGCTTGTGTTTACTTGGGAAAGGTCATTAAGTCAAACTGCAAGAGCCTTATCCTATCACTTTCTGAGATTGCTTCACAGGCTTACCACTTGCCTGTGAAGCAGGAGTGATTGAAGGCTAGGTGACTTAATGTTTTGCAGATCATGGAGCATCACCACATGGGAGGAACAGATCAGAGAAGGAAGTAGCTGAACTCCTCCAGAGATCCCTTTCCCCTGTTCGAATCACCCACGAAGATGGTATGTTATTCACATGACCTCACAATAAATGGGTGAAGTATTGGGAATTGATTGCTGAATTTTCTAGTGCTTCCTGAGAAAATAAGAACCCAGAAAATAATGCCAATGCACTTTATGGATTTTGAATCACTTCTTTAGCTGCTTCTTTTTCACCATGGCAGAGCCTACATTCATAGGATTTCAGGGAAACCATATGAGCCCTACTGCAGTTGTGGAGTAAACATTTAGTGTTGGATTTGCAGAGTTTCAATGCAAAGATTACTATTTTCTTATTGCAGTATTTCTCATCCATTGTAATATGAAGCTTTTCCCATCCATTTCTGACCCAGAGACCTTGAGGCAAATTTCAGTTCTCTTCCAAAGCCTGACAACCCCAAAAGCCCTGACAGCCTTCATGATATATTGGAAGTACATGCACTAACTGGTAATATTGTTGTGCTTCTCTACAGTGGAAGTGGCAGGGAGACTAAGTAGTCTGTGTGTTGAAGATTACATCCATCCTGTTGTCCTGTTGCTGAGGTTTTTAGGCCATTATGCCAAGAACCTTGGTCATTAATTTGATACAATTTAAAATGCAACCATTCTGATCTCCCATTACTTTGTTAGCATCACATTTCATGACTGCCATGACTTTGCAGCCATGCATCTGTTCATTCTAATATACCAATACCTCATTTTGCATTGGGGTTATGTTACTGGAAAACACTACTCAAATCAGCTCAAATCGAATTGACACAAAACAGGGTATTGGTGTATCACTAAAACTACATTGCTTGGCATTTTTATGTAGGCATTACAATATAATTGATGTGGTGACAGCAAAAATAAAGGGCTATTTTTCCTTACATTGGCATTATAATCTCAAGAAGTTTCTTGTTCAGTATGTTATGTTAGGATGATATAAGACATTCTATGGGAATTTGTGGTGGTGTGGTGGTCTTCAAAAAACATGAAAAAATTATGTGAATGAAGGGCTCCACCCATCATAAACAATGCATTTGCATTGCTGCATATGGATCAGTAAGTGAGGTTTCCATGATAAATGATGACAAAAAATGCTCAGAGGTCATCCATAAATGATGTCACTCCATTTCATAGGAGTGCCCTCTCATTCCTGTATCCTTTGGGATACAGGAATCCTACCACTGGCTACCTAATACATCTATTACCTAATACACTCTCACAAGTATGCATATACAGTATAGCTAGTTGTCATATAAGCATTTCGTAATAAGTTTTTGCTCTTTATGAAAGGGTATGAAGTGGTGGAGAGCTTGAACATGAGGCTTCCACCACGCCCAAGTGTTTCTAGGGGTCCACCCCTTACCTCTCCTGAGTGGAAGGAATTTTTGGACCTGGAAGGACGTGTGACTCGTGTTGCAGAGCTGAAGCAGCGAATCTTTCGTGGTGTGAGTTTTCCTTTTTCTTTCCTTCTGTGATGGAGTCATTTGGTTTCAGACCAGATCCATCTTTATATTTTGGCATATCTGCCTCTGTTGAAAGTAAATAAGTTCTAGTTTCAGTAATTTCTTCCTGTACCCTGGATTGTAGAGAGAATGGGGTTCTCCATTCCCCACAATATCCAGTCAAACAGAAGAACATATTCATTTCTCCTTTCTATCACTTGAGTAAGAAGGATGGTGGTGGTTATTGACATGTAGGAGTGGGGTTTCATGATGATGGTCAAGTGATAGGTGATGGAGCTTGGTTTAGAAAATAAGGTATGGATTTGTTATAAGGTATGGATCATGTTTCTTTGAGGGATTTCCCTTATGAGAAATTTACACATTTGATAAATAATAGGGGATGGAGCCAGGGTTGAGAAAGGAAGCATGGAAGTTTCTTCTTGGGATGTACCCATATGACAGCACAGAGGAAGAACGCGAGGAGCTTCGTAAGAAGAAGGTGGATGACTACTATCGCATGAAACTCCAGTGGAGGAGCATCTCGGCTGAACAGGAGTCTCGTTTTTCTGCCCTTCGAGACCGCAAGGCCCTTGTTGGTCTGTTAATTTTCTACTTTTGTTGTGTATTCCTACTTTTTTCAGAATGTTTTTCCTGAAAACTTTTTAAGAATCCATTCTGTTTTTCCATAAATGCATTTATTTAACCTGTTCCTAGATATTATGCAGGTATTGGTGTAGACTACAACATGTAATGGGCAGAGTTAATGTTTAAAAGTTAAAGTAAATTATATTTGGTTCATTAAATTGTTCTCTCACTTGAGAATCCCTTTAAGTTCAGGAATTATTTTGGTATTTTCAGAGAAGGATGTGGAGCGGACAGACCGGACAGTTCACTTCTATGAGGGGAAGGGGAATGATAATTTGCTGATGTTGAAGGACATCTTAACAACGTACATAATGTGGAACTTTGACCTGGGCTATGTCCAGGGAATGTCTGACCTCCTCAGCCCCATCCTATTCATCATGGAGAATGAAGTTGATGCCTTCTGGTGCTTTGTGGGCTTCATGGACATAATGGTATGTTTTATTGTCCCTTCACACTTGTCAACAATGGCTCTTGGATCCACTTCCCAATCCTATTTCCCATCAACAGCAGGACCAGATTTTGAAGTTGTGGGGGTAAAGCATTAAGTGGCAGCATACGAGGAGCGATCACAAAAATTCTGGCTTGAGGCAGTTTTTCTATTGCCATTTACACAAGAGGATTTGAAAGTAGCTCCACTTCAAAATTCTTTGTTTCTGCATTAGAATGAAATTTATTTCAGTATTGAAAATTAAGGATGCACCAATACCGATCCAAAGTATCTGTATCGGCCGATACCAAGTGGATCGACCAGGATCGGTATTGGCTGATACCTATATGGCTGACCTAATCCAATTCGATTCTTCCTTGCTGCATGATGTACATGATGCACAGTGTATACATTTTTGGAATGTCTCATGAAAAAAGCCACACTCATAATGGCATTCGGTTCCTTATGTCTGTCATGGTTCCTTTTAATCTTCACCTGATAGACAATGAGCTTGAGCATGGTTAAAGTGAAATGCGAGAGATTTGAGAAGGGCATTGTATGAATGGAATGGGCCAGTGTCATTTGCATACGCATTTATTCCTTCACTTTCCCCCTCTTCCATCCCGTCTCCCTTCCTGCGCTGACTGGTTGGTGCAGGTGCACTTTGTGCTCATGTCCATCCTGTCTCCAGCTCTCCCCTCAAGCACCAATCCCAGTTGTATAGTAGTTGCATCAACTCCATCCCTTAACCCTTTGACGAGTATGCCCGTATATATACAGGTTGACATCCTCCTGTCCTCCATGTATTCACCATGAGTGATCTTCCAAGCGTTAAAAAAACCCACTCCTCAATGGGTTAAGGACATAAGATGTAGTTCCTGACTCTACTCCTCTTTGCACTGATTGTCCTTTGTATGTAGTACTTATGTCCAATGTATTCTCAGTGGCCCCGGTGAATTGGTTTGGAGGTTTTGGCCTATACTCTTGAAGCTAATATATTGCCAACGTAAATGTCTCCAAAGCTAAATAAATTACAGGAACATCAAATGTTGGGTCATTAGTGTCTGATGATTTTTTATTTCTTCCCTTCACTGCCAAAAGTAGCATTAGGCCTACTAAGGTCTGGTCCTATATTGTGGTTTCATTTCTGACAGCCACTGGGATCAGTAATGGTATTGGTATAGACTAATCCCGGATTGGTGCATCCCTATTGGGAATACCAAAACTTTGTTCTATTTCACAAAATCTGATATCACATTTTTCATAGTCAAGGAAACATTCAAGGAAAATTCAGAGACAAAGAAAAACAGAAAAGTCATTGCTATAGTCATATATGTTTCAGGATACGGAACCAGTATGCTTTTATTTTTTTCTCCAATTTGTCTTTTGCATCAGTTGTGTTTGTACAGTTGTATGAGGCAGACAGAGCAGGTTTTAAGTGTGTTTTCTGGACTGTGCACTGACTTAATGAATGAGGCGATTCTTCATTAAAACTGCATCTGAATGCTATTGTTCAGGCACAAGGCTGTCCCATTGTCCATTTCAATGAGTCTCCTTGGATTGGGATTTCTAGATATTTTACTTGTGAAATTCAGAGTGCTTGTTTGGCTAAACCAGTTAACAGAAAGTTCTGGGAAAAAAAAGAAAAGATGCTTACCATGAGAGGTGAGTACAGCAATAGCTAATACCTATTCTAGAAATAAATGTTTAAACAGCAGCAGGTTTTTTTTCTTTCCCCAGTTTTATTGTACATGGAATAAATTGCAATCAATAGATGGTATTCTTCTGAACTTAATTATATTTGAATACTCTGCTTGCATTGCAAAACTATTTTTAACTGAGTGAATTTGAGTACTTGTATCTTTGGATTATCTTGTCTAAATTCAACCAGCCTTTGTGGGAACAAACACAGCAGTATGAAAATTAAAAATTTAATGGAAATCTATGCTCTATTTTAAAGATGCCAGAAATGTTAAAGGTGCCCCCAAATTTATTTTGCTACTGGGTACAGTAGCACTGTAATTTTTATAGTTACAAGTAATCATGCTGATGTTTTGTATTGCTCATGTTGTTCTTACATAAGTTTTTATGTTGTGCAGGGCCCTAACTTTGCAATGGACCAGTCAAAGATCAAGGAAGACCTTGAGAAAGCACATTTCCTGGTGGAGTCCTTGGATCCTGACCTGGGAGAGTACCTTGAGAAGATGGGATCTGGGAACATGTATTTCTGTTTCCGCTGGCTTCTAATCTGGTTCAAGCGAGAGTTTGAGTTTCCAGATGTCCAACGGTTGTGGGAAGTCCTTTGGACTGGTCTTCCTACCCCCAACTTCTACCTGCTCCTCTGTGTAGCTGCATTGTGCATGGAGAAAGCCATCATCATGGAAAACCAGTTTGGATTCACAGAAATTCTCAAGGTGCTTGTTTCCCATAACCTCCATTGCTTGTTGCTGCAATGTTGATCTTGTGTTGGAGATGTTAAACAGAAGGTTACTTAACAGAAGAGACCCATTCACATGAGTGCTATGTCGAAACAGAACCATGTTGCCAGGGTTTCACCAAAGGAGGGGCCAGAAACTTCTCTTTGGGCGGAGGGGGGGGGGTGGGGGGGTGGGGAGATGGTGGATGCATTTAGGTCAGAGTTGGGGGGGGGCTTCAAGCCCTCCCCTTGCTATGCCACTACATGTTGCAGAATAAAAACTAGTACAGTGCATTGGCACCATTTTAAGGAATATAAACATTGCACCATGACTTTTCATATTGAGGAGTTCGAGATACCACATACTTTTAAGGTGCATCAGTGTCTTGAGTATATTTATGAATTCCAAACTTAGTTATCATCAACAATCTGTCTAAAAAAAGGTATCATATAAAAAGAGAATTTTCATCATAGATATCTCCAACACATTCATGACAACAATAAACAAATTGCACAAAGCTGTCAAGGCCTAATCTCACATCAGAAATATGACAAACATTAAACTCCATTTCTGATATCCAGAGTGGAATCAGTGGACCTGGTCCCACATTTAGTGGCTTCCTTCAGTTGACTGCTGCTGATCATTCTTGCAATTCAGTTCTTGTCATGGGTATGATTGGGCAATTCAATGGCCATTCCACAAAATCTGTTCCATCCATAGTAGTTATTGCACAGTTCTTCCCATTGATGCCAATATACATATTATTTTCTCTCCCATTCCATTGAATTTTTGGCACCCCGAACTTCAATTTATGCCAGTAAAACTTAGAAATTGCATGTTCCTTTACCTAAAGCATTGCACTGATACTACAGTCGAACTCGGTTATAACGCCATTTAAGGGACCAGGTAAAAACCGTTGTTATAGCCGAGGTTCATTATAACCAAGGTTGCCTTTATTGGCACTCCATTTTCCTCTTTTCAAAATTGATGCTATATAACATTACGACTCCAGTTTACATGGGTGATACTGCACTAGTGCCAGTTTCAAGATTGACCCACTAATCGTGATGTTCGTACTTTGGACCTTGAACTACTTTATACTTTAGCAAGGCTTGGTCAATGTCATCTCGACAGACCTAGGAAGTTTCTTGTTTTGTGACATGTTCTCGTAAGCACAGATGAAGCTGTCACGATTTTCCCAAATTGTGGAAACAAACAGGTGTCCATGTTCGTGAGCGATGTTAGCTTCACTTTGAGCTCTTTCTATGAAACTAATCGAGCACACTTTCCTGTTTCCAACGCTAATTTTTCCAATGACGGAAATTTAAGTTAAGAATGACGGATTAGGGACATGAACGTTGTCGATTTTGTATGTGGGACCTTCAACCGAGGTTTCGATATAAACGAGTTCACTATAACCGAGGTAAAACGTAACGTGCCTTATGGGCTCTATGCTGGGACCTGGCACTTTTGTCGTTATAACCAAGTTCGACTGTATATGCTGGGCACAACTATGGCTTCACCTGATTGAGCATTACAAGTCATAGCTGTCAGATTTCAATAAGCACCATCAGCTCAGCCAATGTTTTAGGTAATGTCAGGGAAACAATTTTCTGTAAAATGAGCTTCCTTGGCTAAATTCAGGGAACTGAGTTGTCTATGAAAGGGATATATGGATATGTTGGTGATTTGATTATCTGCAACATGTCTATCTCCTATTATTCTGTAGCAGAATTATTTTTTAAATTTGAATGGAGGAAGTTTGTCTTATTTGATTGTCTTATTTTCATGACATTTCTTTTGTGACATATTCACATTTTAATTTTAATTTGACATTTTCCCTAATAGTAATGGCTTAGTATGTCAGGTGCCCTCCTTTGTATGGGAGATGTGATTTCTCCTGCTGGGCTCTCAGTAACATCCTACTAATTGGATGCTTGTTTCTTGGTCAGTTGGGTTTGGATTTCTAGCAACTCCACCAGGGGAGTTGGAATCCCCAAATAGAATCCAATTTCTTTCCATCAGATTTGAGGAATTGGAGAGAGTTTTGCCTTGAGTTTACAAAATGCAAATGCCCATTCATGCCTTGTACATGCAACATATATAGATATATGCATATAAGCTATATTGCCAAAAGGCATGGCCTATTCAGCAAATGATGACATAATAGTGTAACAATACTGGGGACCTTAACGATGGGAGTGCCAGGCAACAGGCATATACCTGTTATACCTGTCTACTCTCTGGAGCATCAGTTCACAGCAAGATGCCAGCACAACAAAAGCTTACTGCATTGTTATGTGGTGTGGTTATTTGGTGCCATTTTGGAAGGAAGTCCGGTTGAACTCCAACAGTACTTCTGGCCTGCCCTTCAGTAAAGTGTACATTGTCATAACATGAAGGAAGACGTGGATGTGTTGGCTACTTTCTCCAAATGGGGTAGGTTGAAGCTCTCATCCATACTGAAGAGAGTCCAATACAAGAAACTCAGTCTTAAGTGTGATGCCATGAACATACTCATGGGTGGGCCTTCACTTTAGGAAAGGTTGTGCATACTGTACATGGAATGCTTCCCTACCTTTTGCATTGGATAATAAGATTTTCAATGCAATGGAATTATTCCATAGGCTTTAGTTGGTGTTGTAGACTTAATTCTTTGTTTTTATTTTCCTGGCAGCATGTGAATGAAATGTCATACCGGATCGATGTGGAGAAGCTGCTTGCTGAAGCTGAGGGACTATACCTGCAAGTGCAGAATGCACAGAATCTTCCTTCACGCATTGCAGAGATCCTTGGCCTTGAAATTTCTCCTCACCAGCTGCAGATGGTGCATCAGTCCAACAAGACAGAAGTTAATGGTCAGAAGAGTCCCCCAGGAGCTCCAGCTGGGGCAATTGGATCAAGTGAACCGGGTAACACAAGCACTGACACAGAGGCGATGGACAGCATCGAAGTGCTTGGCGAGTGCGATGACGCCATCTCACATGTCCTTGCCTTCAATTTCCTCTGATTGATGTGATACTGAGGTCTCAATCTTTACCACGACAAGAATGATCTGACTGTGCCAAAAGGACATCAGCAGGTCTTAAGGCAAGCAGGACAATTCAAGATTTTTCTGAAGGAGTTGTTGGATTCTTGTTTTTGGCAGTATCCTGGTCTTCTAGAGAACAAGTGAAGGAACTCCTATTCAAGTGACCTTTTAGAAATTTGTTATTTAAGACTTTCATTACTTCAGGTCCATTTTCATCAGATGTGCTTACATTTGAAGGGCTGGGAGATGAAGTTGTCTATCTGCAAAATGTTTCCAAAAAATGTTTAGTTGGTTTAGTGAAAGTAGAACCTTTTTCTTTTCATAGAAAATGCTAGATTTTTAAAATTATGTTAGAGGTGAACTTATCTATTGACATATGCAAATTTTCCTCCCTTTTGATGTGATTGTCACTGGAATATTCACTCTTTCCGTGTGGAGCTTGGGAAAATAATTTTTTTGCAGAAAGACCACTTTGCCTTTCAACCCTTCATTTTGCTTGCTTTATGATTAGAGGGTGGAATTATATAACAAGGTATGACTAAAACATAGCCAAATGTGATAGGAAATATGAAATTATCTCTGAGCCAATAAATTCAGATCATCATTGAGTCAAAATGAAAATCAGTCATTAGGGCAAGTGCAATTTTTTTTTTTACATCACGCTCAATTTTCTACTTGTATTCACTCCAAGTAGCAGCAAGAAAAAATCATGAATCTGATATTAAACTAATTCTAGTGGAAAATGTGACCATAATTATACAAGTCCCTGAATTATATAAGTCCCCTGACCATAAGTCACTGAATAATGTCCTTGAGCATGAAGTATAATGTAATAGGCATGGGCTCATTTTACTACCTTTGGTGCTAGGAATCCATTATGGATGTATGTGCAAGGGAATAGAAAAAAATATGATCTTGTGTATAAATCCACCTTCTAGTCATGACTTGGTTTCCAGATTGCAGAAAGAAATGTGAACATGACTCCCTCCCCTTGACTGGCAATGATTTGAGTTTTTCATTCCATGTTTATCTTATATTTGCTGTTTCTCCATGATTCTGGAATATCTAAGTTCTGTCATCAAGTATTCTGCTCCTTGATTTAACTGATAATAATTGAAAAACTGATGTGCACACCAAAAATAGTTATTTTGTCTGAAAAAAATAGTTTTTCCAATCCTCCTGTTTTTTGCTATCAATTATAAGCTATAATTTCTCAAGAGGAGATTATGACCCAATCCGAGCAGCACATTCTTTCCTTTCAATTCTTGTGATTATTCATCAGTTTCCATATGAACATGTGTGTCTGATGGCAGGGACAATGTGACAGCTTATGAAGAGCAGGGTCTAACTATATGTTTACAAGTTTTACTGAGAGTGATTTCATTATCTTTGTCACATGAAGGCTGTCTACCTCTCAGAGGTAACCCATCCAGGAAAGTTGAAGCTGTGAAATACATCATGCCCAACCATGGTATTACTTTTGTTTGACTCTGGTCAAACTCATAGAGCACTCCCTTGTCAAAACTCGAAAGGATGAGTGGAAAGATTTTGGGTGCCAATCCAAGAGTCTGCTTGACCCCTGCTGGTCAACATTGTGACTTGTATTACTGTGAAGTGGAATTCTTTCGATGTGAGTACAAGCATTTATTTTTTTACCAAGAGGAAGCATCACATATGACCAGTCTGGGGTTGTATGGCTGTGTTTTTTTTCCATTTTTGGGATATCTTTGGATTTTGGTTCCTCTGCACTATGAATACCCACCATTGCACTTGGTTGCTTTAGTCATGTGAGAAATGCCAAAATTGCTAGTACCAATTGCACTGATTTGAAGTTCCATCCTCTTGAATTTCTGTTGTCTTTCTTTTTTTTAAGTTTAAGTCATGGTATTTTGTGAAGCATTCGGGAGAATCATGATGTGGGGATCGGTCTTTCATTGTCCCAGTTTGAAAAGGAGAAATCTTTTCTAAATAAAGGAAGCATTTTATTCTACCTAAGCCAGAGTTTCCTTGCGTGCGTCTTTATTCTGGTTCATTTCGATAATCACATGAAGGAGAAATTATTGCTTTGATAGTTTGAATGCCTAAGACGCTTCGTGAGGAAGCAAGGCCGCCGTGGGTTACGAAGACTAACCTCAAGATCTGTCTAGAAACCGCGATTAGCACACTGATGTATCTCCTCCTTAGTCCTCGCAAGAACTGCATAGGACTCAGAAACATCATCGATGACCTGAAGGGCGAATGTGCAATTTTGAGCATTTCTGGAACAAGAATTTGCCTATTTTTGACGGAGCACCAACAATTGAAGAGTTTTCGCTTCTCCGCGAGATAGCTGTTAACTTATTGGTGCGAAGTTGAACTTCTTTCTCATTTTGCTGTTCAGGGAAAGGGTAAATCCTTGCCCTCCTGAAAATGTCCCAAAATTGCATATTTGCTCGTTTATAGTGATTGCCGATAAGAAGACAGGTCGAAATAGCCAGCCATTTGACTCGCCAGCCGATTGATGTGGAGGATGGAGCGTGCTGCGATTGGCCGATGGACATGCGGCGTACGTGCCGCAATTGGTTAACGAGGCAACGCGTGTCTGGATTGTTCGGTGCTAGTGGTCTTGGAGAGGAGGGGGTGGGGCTCCAAAGGTGAAACCTTTCCTGGATAAGCGGCAAGGTATGAAGAAAGGAAAAAGGCTGAAGAACGCTCAACTCACACACCAGGGCTCAAGCCACACCAGCTGGCGAAACGGCTCCAACTGATTCGATTCGGTCGACGTGAGACGCCGAGGGGAGTTGGAACCCTGAGATTGCACGGATGCATTCAGAAAGGAATCGAGTGCTGCGTTTTCCCAGAGTCAGTGTGGCCTCCCCGTCCGCACTTAACACTTCAAGTACTACTGTCGCGATTTTACGTTAGATTCAGAGTTAGGTTCATCATATTGCAAGGTTCAATAGTCACATACTTAGGTAAGTGGACTGCTAAAAAAAACTCAGTCCGAGCATGCCTCTACTAAACTCAAAGGGCTAATTGCTATCAACCAGGTAACGCAAGCGAACTTCCCTGCATCTAAATGAGGCAACTTAGTTTAGCGTAGAATATTGCGAAAGTAGTCGAGAAGTTTGAAGAGATGTCAATTAATATCCACGAAATCCTGTTCCTAAATTTCGCGTAGCATCCGAGTGATGAATCTGGATGAGCAATATCGTCTTTTTGCTCATACGAGATGATGGGAAATGGCCAGACTTTTCTTGAGAGTCAAAATTTGCCTTCGATTTCAGTGTAGACATCGAATCCAGAGCCGGAATCGATCTTTTGAAGCATCAAAGGAAAACGCAGCACTCAATTCCTTTCTGAATGCATCCGTGCAATCTCAGGGTTCCAACTCCCCTCGGCGTCTCACGTCGACCGAATCGAATCAGTTGGAGCCGTTTCTGGGGGGGGGGGGGGGGGGGGGGGGGGGGGGGGGCTGTCAATCGCGTTTTAGATTGCAGACAGACCGAAGCCGGTATAACAGGTCTAAGGTAGAAATTCTCTCGTGTTTTCCATTTCGATCGTTAGTATCCCTTCAAAGGAGCCATCGTGCTAAGAAGAATGACAATAGATGGCTCTGAAGTCGGCATACCCTTACGTACGTCATACGTCGGAAGGCGCTTTCAGTTCGGAGCGCCATACCGTGCTTGACACTCCGTGAAGCAAAGTCGTTTGGATGCGCTGTTCGGCAGAGGTCGATGCGACTCACCGAATCGGTATCATCATGCCGCGTTCTTGCGAAGTCAGTCGGACGCGCCTCCGCCACGTCATCTAAGCGTGTTAAGATAGGCCTATACTGTCCTAGTTTTTCATCCCCGAAGCCTAGCGTTACCATATTTCGGACGCCCCAAAAGAGGACGCCAAAACAGTCGGACGGAAACTCGAAGGCGAAAAAGGACATGTACAGGGAAAATATCCGGACGTATGGAAATCCTACCCAGGCCCGGATTAAGGTTATGAGGAGCCTAAGGCTAATGGGAGGGAAGGCCTATGAATTACATATTGCGCAAAAAAATTAAAAATTAGGGCCTAAAAAAATAAGGGCCTAAGGTTATAGTCCTATTAGCCTATGGGTTAATCCGGCCCTGACCCTACCGAAGCCACACGGGGGTGAGAAGTCTGGATACGTGTTCCTGGTGCAAGAGGCCAATGTCATGCCTCTAGCCGCGCACAGATCTTGCCAACCGACGTCCGTGATGTAGGCTAAAAGTGCCGAGGCCATGATGTAAACCAAGGACTAGATCTAGCATAGGCTAGGCTTTTCATACACCTGCTACTGTATTTGCAGTTACGGCTAATAACTTCTAATGCCCTCAAAGAAACGCCAGACCTGGCTCTTCGAGACGTCGTTTTGCCCTCACACCATCGTCCCATCAACGTCGTCCCACTGTTGTGACGACGTCGAAAAACGATCGCGTTCCGGCGTCTTCCAGTACAGATTGTAATTGCTGCGTTAGTGCCTGTGCGCCACGTCACTGCCACGTTTCGCGTGCAGGTTGCACAGAAGGCATTCGTAGGCTTACTAGTCGTTGGATTTTACTTGCAGGACTATCCCAAAAGTCTCTCTTTCGTTCGGTTCCTTGAAGAAACACCCAAAATAAATCGTTAGGCCGAGTTCATACTCGTGCTGTACGACATGCTGGATGTTCAAACTGCATACTATGGCCAAAAATTTAATGTCAATTGGATTTTTGAACAATGTATGCAGTTACAGCATCCAGCATGTCGTACAGCACGAGTATGAACTCGGCCTTGGACTTGACATCAACATCGTTTCTGCTGCAGGAGTATTTCTCCAACGAGAGGTTTTCGAAGTTATTCTTCCGAAAATTGATAGGTACTCGTGCGGTCTGGAGACTCAGAAAAATTCCATCCGAGCCAATGGCCCTTTTCCCTCAATGCGTTCCGTTTCGATTTCTTCGAACGGAAAGCGTAACACCAGGGCAGGATTAAGAAGTTGCGAGGCCCCGGGGGAAGTGGATTCTTAGCCCTCCCCCGATAATTTACGCAAATACTTGGCGTTTTTAATTTCCTTCGGGGGCCCCCCTGGAGGAGTGGGGCAACAGCCCCCTTTACTCCCCCCCCACCCCCTTACTCCGGCCCTGCGTAACACTCGGGAACGAGGCGAGGCCTCCCTGCCTTCCTCGTCGCTTCACCCGCAGCCCTCTCAGGCCTCATTGCATTCGCTCTCACACGACCGGAAAACCGATTGCCGTTCGAGCTACCCCACACGATCCAAGGTCGGCTCGATTCCATAGGGCGGATGTAGACTGGAGAGGCGCATCCCGTGCAGCGAGGCGAGCACGGACGGTTCTCGCGGCTGCCATCTTGGGATTGAAGTGAGTTCAAATCAGGTGTTGGTGTTATCTCCTGGTCTTAGTGTCGAGAGCGGCCGAGAGGCTTCTCCCAAAAGAAACTTCGGTGTTAACACCGACACTAAATGCCCGTTCACATTGGGTGACATACACCACATCGGTTTAGGAGCTAAACTGATTTGATTCCAGACAAATATGTTTAAGAATGAGTGTAACTCGTCGTTAAACTGATTCGTGACATGCACCAAATGCGATCTACTTCTCTTCTAAACTAATCTTTAACGATAAACCTGTTCTATAGCAGGTTTAACTCCCCTGCCTGTTTAACTGCCAGCAGCTGGCACAATATTCATTCTCTTTCTGAGTGCAACCACACCGCTTTTAAACGTGTTTAAGTCGGGGATGAACGTGTTCATAGAAACTAATCTGATTCTCGGTGGTGCATGTCACCGTATCCTTCATCCATTGTCCGTATCCTTCGCCGCAGCTTCCCTGAAGGTGCGACGTAGGCCTCTCGTTCACATCACCCGGCGCAAGATGACAGCGTACAAGAGACGAGCGCTCTTGCTCTGGATGAGAGATATCTTGAGTGGCTACGTCTATCATATGATGAAGCAGAATTTTTTTGTGGAAATTGTGGTTTCTACATTCTCCACAACAGGCAATGGCGTAACCAGTCTTAAAGTTTGGGGGGGGGTTCGAATTTCTCATGACCTGTCTTTCAAATGTCTCCGAATGCAAGAAGGCCTCGTCAAATCAACAGAAGAGATACTCTACAAAAACGCGAAACGGCGCGAACACGCGAACAAGGGAAATGAATCGAAGAAAAATGTTATGAAATGGTGGAAACGGAATTTAAACTCTGAAGGATAAAGGCACAATCGATACCTGAGAAAACCCAAAAAAGAACTAAATTAATTTCGGGATTCGGCACAAATTGCACTGCGCAGATATGCAACTGAAAATTTGTAAACCTGTACGTAATTCACGTATTTTATCTGGATCGTCGTCCTTTTTCATAAAAAAAAATTCAGTAGCGTCACATGCGCAGGGCGCACCTTGACAGGTTCACTTTACTGACCTTCACCTGTGACCTTTACCTTTCACATCCTATCTTTGTGCCTTTCTAGCTTCGCTCTCGGGTCGAATTGGAATTATCAGCTTGAAACTCAGAAGTAATGAGCGTATGTGTCTCCCCCCCCCCCCCAGATGGAGGTGTAGGCTTACGCCATTCTCATGAACACATTCTTTCCTCCTCAGTCATTGAAGGAAGTGTGTGTTATTGCTACGTTATTCACTCTGAAGGAATTCAAACTTCGGGGGGAGGTAGGGGGGGTGTACACGCCCTGGGGACAAATTTCGCTGGCCTAGGCCAATACTACATTTATGCACACTCCTCAAAGGAATCGGGATGGAGAATAAGTAGCTGTTGGCTTGCATACTACAGATACAGAATAGAGGGAGTTGATTGCAAGCGATAAGGATATGGCCAGTATACTTAACGAGTCCCCCCCCCCCCCCCCCCCCCCCCACCCTCCGGGGAGAGGAGGATGGAGAAGTAGAGAGATACTATCATGAGCAGGGATTTGGGGGAGTTCAGGCCCCCCCCTCTTGGTTGTACCACTGACTACAGGGGAAGGTACGAATTCAATCCGAAAAC